TTCTTTCTTCTCTTCTTCTTCAACTTCAACACTTTTCTTTATCTTTTATTCCTCTTAACTTTAGTTAATTTTCTTTGAATTTTCATTAAATCTTCATTTGTTCATCTTTCTTTTTATACTACTTGTTAATCAATAGTCATCTTTAGTTTTTTTTCTTCAAGTTTAATTCACATTCTTTAGTTTTTTTCTCCTAAACTAATATTACTAACTCCTTTCTTTACCATTTCTCTTTTACCTCCATTTCCTTTAATTATTTGATTATGTAAATTTTTCTTTACATTTTGTTATCTTATATATATGTTTTTTATGTTTGTACTAATGATTTAATTTTTTATTTCTAAAGGTTCCCTAATTGGTGAAGAATGGGGCAGCATTATGAAGGTAATTAACTTCATTACCTTATTTATACTCATATACATATTTTTTCATTTATTTTTTATTTATTTTGCGTGTTTTAATTAATATGATTTCATTTGTGATTCTTTTATTTATTTTGCATTATATTTTTGTAAGATTCTTTTTGCAAATGTCAAGTATTTTTTATTTATTTTTATTTTCTTGCACATATGCAAATTTAATCATACCTATTGATAAATAATTATACTCATAATTAAAAAACCATAAAAAGGTCAAAAAATTAAATAAATTACTATTGTATATAATGTTGTACCTATGATTTTGATGATTACAAAACACATTTGAGTGACTAATTGATTTATTTAAGTGTGTAGTTAAATTGCCAATATACTACAAAGTAAGCAAAATGAGATTGCATTAAAAAAGGCTCAAAGGGTAAAAATATGCAGAAAGCCGACTTAAAAAAATTGCAACCGGCTCTAGGAAGCAAAAATGCAGAGAGCCGGTTGCAGATTTTGTTGAGTCGGCTCTACAGGCCAGAAATTCAACTGCTGTTTTGGCGCGCATTGAAAATGGAAGCAGAGTCGGCTCCCACTTTGTAGCCGACTGTGAGGGTGCATTTAATGCACAACGGTCGAGTTATTTGAAGATTATTTAATGTGTTTAAAGTTGGAATCCCAAAGCCGGCTTTAGACTTTGCAGCTGGCTATGGAAGAAAATAGAATGTGCAGGAAACCTGCAAAGCTGGCTGCAGAAATAGTGAGCCAGCTGTATAGAGCCGGCTTTAGGAAGTTAAGCCGGCTCTTCTGACAATCCTGCAACTCGAGCTTTGCGTCCTGCAGAGCATTAAATGACCTCCAACGGCTAGTGACGGCTATTTTCGACCATGGGGTTATAAATATGGTTGGTAGAAGATCTGAAAGAGGTTTAGAGAGTATTGTTTTTAATATCTTTACCTACCTATATGAGCTTTAACTTGAGTTTTTGATCTTTGAGAGATCTTTACATGTAATCCTCCTCTTGTTCTATTTGTGAGTGATCTTGGGGATGTGATTATTCCTTCAAGAGTGATCTATTGAGAGGATTCGTGGGGTTTACATTGTAAAGGGGTGAGGTTTGAGAGAAATACTCATCTTCTTGTAAAAGGATTGAATGGCTCCTTTAAGCCACCCTTGTTGTTGTTAGTGGAGAGTATGGAGGAAATCCTTGGTGAGTGAAGCCAAAGTAAAGAATTAGGATCCAAGTGGTTGGACCGAACCTCTATAAATCATTGAGCAAGCTCTTCTTCTCTACTCTCTTTAATTTTGGTTTTGTGGTTGCAAAAAGGAAAGAATTTTTGGAACTCCAATTCACCCCCCCTCTTGGAGTACATTGAGTCAACATATAATTCATAATATTAATATCGAATTATTTTAGTACTAAATCTTTTTATAATATTTATTATGTATATTACAATTTATTAAATAATTTGATTTTTTTTCAAATCTGGATATCTATTTCGGTCAAGTAGCTAGACCGCAATACATTGAAAATTTTCCGTCAACATTTTGAATTTCCCCTACAAACCATTCATTAAATAATTTGGTTTTTTTTTTTTAATTTGCCAATATATTTTGGTCAAGCTCCCTGATCAAATTATACTGAATACTTTTATTCAGTTTTTTTTCCTTCGATCAAATAGCTTAACCAAAAAAATATACAATAAATTTCCAAAAAAAAAAGAGTAAATCCTATACTATTTCGATTAGTCATTCCACCCAAGATAGGCCGAGGAGAAGTTTTTTTGCCATCTTATTTCAGTTAGTTATTTTGCTCGACAAAGTTAGATCAAATACCAAAAATAACCCTTACCTCTAATTTGGTCAAGTAGATTGATCGAAATATTTAATTAAAATATTATTGATTAGTTCAGTCAAATTATTTGTCCGAATATAATAGTTATTTAATGAGCTTTTCAAGCATGTTTTTGGTCAGTTATATTAACCGAATTAATGATATATTTTGATCAAGATGAAATTTTTTCCGAAATATTATTTCGTACAGAGGATATTCAGGCTAACAATTCGGTCAGTGGACTTGACCAAAGTGTTGTCTATTCAGTCATAAAACATACTTATTCGGTCAAGATGCTTGACTGAAAAAGCTCCTAATTCTAGTAGTGTTTCTCAAGGTTAAAGATTTTGGGCTGTTCTTGCTTGGAGTTGCATATACACTTGTAGGATAAGTACATTAATTAAACTTATAAGAGTTGGTTTGATGAAAGCATGAAAATGTATATTTAAAGTGTGCCTAATCATTAACATTTGTAGAATTATGAGTTTAAGAGTTTTATTTTTTACAAGTAATTTCATAAGTGTTCATTATATTCATGTTGTGCAAATCTTGTGGTGATTGAAGGTTTGATGATTAAATGGAGAGGATTATAAGAAAATGACTTGAATGCAAAGAGCTAAAAAGATGAGGATCCAAGGAGTAAATTTAAAAGTTTGAAGGCCCAAGTTGGATTTCTCCATTTTTCATTAAGAGCAAAATTCGTGAAGTATGCTTTGACCAGTGCAAACGGAAAAACAAAAACATCAGGGGTTGCAAACCCTGAAGTAGGTTCCAACCCTTGGTCAATGTGGCACAAAAATAGAATTATGTAGGGTTTTGCACCTGATTGAGGTTCCAACCCCTATCCAAGCAACTATGCGAGAAGAAAAAAATAAAATAAAATTAATTCCCCAAAGCTGCTATCCTAGTTACCAAACATTCCCCTGTCCAACCAACTATGCGAGAAGAAAAAAATAAAATAAAATAAATTTCCCAAGGCTGCTATCCTAGTTACCAAACACTCCTATTTTATTTCCAATATAAATAGGAGCCTTTAAAACTAGGTTTAGCATCTAAAAAAATAGCTTTTGGGCTTCTATTTTCTTCTTTTCCAGGACTAGAGAATTATGTCAAAGGGCAACTAAATTTTTAACAAAACTAAGGAGAATTTTAATTGAGGAGTTTGACTTGTTATTTTATTTTGATTCCTTCATGGATTTTATTATTTAATTTTATTTTTGAGAGATTATTAATTATTTTTATATTTGAAAACCCTAAAGATTATATTCATCAAATTTCATATAAGATTAGTCATACTCTTTTTATGTGTAATTTGTTATAATATAATTAATTGGTAGATTCGTTTTGCTAGTTGATTCTTTACTGCAGTATTGTCAATTAGATATAGTGTCGCTCTTGGATAGCTCGTAATGATAGATCAGTTTGTTCGTCATTCAAATTAATTTCTTTCAAAATAAATATATTAGTTATTATTATTGGTCTTTAAAGTTAAATCTTCTGATTGTTTGTTTGGGATGTGAAACATGCAATTGAGTAATACATAGGAATCAAAATTTATAACAGTTAAACAAATCAATTAAGTGAACATTGAAGTCTTGTTCATCATAATATTGTTTTCAATCTTTTATAATTACCATCTTTTATTTAAATATTTTTATTCTTAATTTTAGATTTCATCTTTTAATTTAATTTTTCATTGTGACAACTCTTTTTGTTGATTTAATACAGCTTCCCTATGGATTCAACACCCAAAGTTACGCTACAACAACCGCTTAGCCGAAGGGTTTTAATTTTGGGGCGAGACACCAAAATTTGGCGCCGTTGCCAGGGAAGCCAAATTGACAGTTAGAGTTTGAGCATTCTTCACTTTTCTTTTATTTCTTTTATTTGCTTCATTTTCTTTAGTTTATTTTACTTTCTTGCTTTTATTTTATTTTCTTCATTCAAAAAAAAGAAAAAGAAAAAAGATTAGAGTGTATGAATAGATCAAGGGACGAAAAAGGGAGATTTATTAGATTAGTTCCACCACCCTTTCAAAAAGAAGAAGTGGAGTCTAATTCATCCTTTAATTCTGAAACCATGAGTCAAGATGGTGATCAACCTATTAGGACTTTGAAAGACTATTTGCACCCCACTAGAACAACTACACCATGATGCATAATGTTTCATCCTAATACACCAGACTCTGAGTTCAAACTTGGAATGATTCAACTTTTGCCTAATTTCCATGGTTTAGAGAATGAAAATCCATATGTGCATATTAAGGAGTTTGAAGAGGTAGTAGCTACTTTTCATAGTCGAGCTGATACTATAGACACAGTTAGGTTGAAATTCTTTCCCTTCTCCTTGAAAGACAAAGCTAAAATTTGGTTATATTCTTTGAGATTGAGATCTATAGGTACATGGGCAGAGATAACTCAAGCTTTCTTTAACAAGTACTGTCCACATCATAAGACTAATAATTTTAAAAGACAGATCTCCACATTTTCTCAAAAGGATAGTGAAACCTTATACCAAGCATGGGAGAGGTTTAAGGAATTACAAAACTTGTGTCCACATCATGGGTATGAAACTTGGAGGTTGGTTAGTTATTTCTATAAGGGTTTAACTAGTAAGAAGCGTCAATTCATAAAGATGATGTGTAATGGGGAGTTTTTGCATATGGACCCAGAAGAAGCCATAGATTATTTAAATGAGTTAGCTAAAAAGGCTCACACTTGGACAGGACCTAATGCCACTGATAGTACTAGCAGGTCACGATCATTTGGGATTTACCACCTTAGCGAGGAAGATAACCTCAAAGTCCAATTGCTAGGGTAGAAACTCAGGCTCCATGTTTTGTTTGTGGGGGATTGGACCATTTAGCTGAGGATTGCCCAACCTATGGTGAGATGAAAGGGGTTTATAAAGAACAATGCAATGCATTAGGAATGGTTAGGAAACCTTTTTCACCTTATTCAAAGACGTACAATTCTAGTTGGAGGAACCAACCTAATTTTAGTTGGAAGAATGATCAAAACCATCCCACATCATCCAACAATACTTGGAATAGTGAAGTTCAACCACCTAGGTCTTACCCTACACATCAATACGATGCACGACCAGATAGAAATCCTTTAGAGGAAACACTTAAGGCATTTATGGAGGCACAAAATAAGACTGACCAAAGGTTTGATTCTATTCTTACACAGGTGGTTGAAGAAAACAAGGATATCAAGAGTCAACTAACTAAGTTGACCAATGCTCTTACTATCCAAGAATGAGGTAAGATTCCATCTCAACCTCAAGCTAATCCTAAAAATTTACACTTTGTGCAGGAATCTACCTCTAATTCGGAGAACATTAAAGGGGTCAACACAATCACTACTTGTACTAGTAAGGTTATAGAGCCGTTTCAAAAATCACCTAAATTGAAAGACGCTACTCCAAGTAGCCATGAAGACGAGCCGTTGAAAGAACCTGAGAAGGAGGTCCCAACTCGACTTCCTTTCCCTCAAGCCCTTAAAACTGGAAAGATTTCAGACAACCAAGGTGAGATTTTAGAAAATTTGAAACAAGTTAAAATTAATCTACCTTTGTTGCATGTGATTAAACCGGTACCAACTTATGCCAAAGTGATCAAGGATCTATGCACCATGAAAAGGAAACACCATGTCAAGAAAACTGCATTCTTGACAAAACAGGTAAGTGCAGTAATTGAGCAAAAAACACCACCAAAGTACAAATCCAGGGTGCCCAACAATTGCTTGCCAAATTGGGTCACAAGAGTTCGGTCAAGTTCTTTTGGATTTAGGAGTATGTGTGAATTTAATGCCTTATTTAGTTTATTTGGAGCTAGGTCTTGGAGAGATAAAACCCACATCTGTGGTGTTACAGTTGGTTGATCGTTTTTGTAGGAAACCAAGAGAGATAGTAGAAGATGCTTTGCTTCAAATTGATAAATTTTATTATCCTATTGATTTTCTTGTGTTAGACACTCAGTTTGAAGTTAAGAGCGAGTCAAAATTTTCACTTATTTTAGGAAGGCCATTTCTTGCTATTGCTAACGCTCTCATTAACTGTAGGAATGGTTTGATGAAACTTTCATTTGGGAACATGACTCTTGAGGTGAATATTTTTCATGTTGGGAAGCAACCACAAGAAGATGATGAATGTATCATTCCTACATGATAGATTCACTTGTTGAGGAAGTACAAGAAAGGGAAAATTCTAAATCTTTAGAACACTTCCTTTATAATTTTGATTTAAACTCTGACTTTTTGCTTTATCCTGTTAATGGTATTTGTAATGTTTCTGTTATTTCTACTGCTGATCAAGATAAGCAAAAGAAGTTTTGGCAACCATGCTTTGAGGAGTTACCATGTGAAAGGGAACAACCAAAGCCATCTTCACTAGAGACACCAAAAGTCGAGTTATCCCCACTTCCTGAAGGGTTGAAACATGCATTCTTAGGTCCAGGTGATACCTTTCCTGTTATAATATCTTCTAAACTTAGTGCTGAGCAAGAAGAGAAATTGATACATATATTAAAAGAACATAAATCTGCACTAGGTTGGACTATAGCTGACATTAAAGGTATAAGCCCGTTGATTTGTTCTCATAGGATTCATTTAGAAAAAGGATGTATCCCACGTAGAGACCCTCAAAGAAAATTGAACCCAACAATGAAAGAAGTTGTGAAAAAAAAGGTCTTGAAATTGTTAGATGCGAGAATCATATATACTATATCTGATAGTAAATGGGTTAGTCCTACTTAAGTAGTGCCAAAGAAATCAGGGGTAATAGTAGTTGAAAATGACGAGGGAGTTCTTATACCAACTAAGGCAGTAATTGGGTGGTGCATCTGCATTGATTATAGGAAATTAAATGCAGCCACTAGGAAGGACCATTTTCTGTTGCCATTTATTGACCAAATTTTAGAACATGTTGTTGGCCATCCTTTCTATTGCTTTCTTGATGGTTATTCAGGTTATTATCAGATTGAGATAGCTTTAGAAGATTAGGAAAAGACTACTTTTACCTATCCTTTTGGTACTTATGCTTTTTGTATAATGCCATTTGGTTTATGTAATGATCCGGTCACTTTTCAACGTTGTGTGCTTGGCATATTTTCTAAATTGGTTGAGGAAATTATTGAAGTTTTTATGGATGACTTGACTATTTTTGGTGATTCTTTTGATTCATGCCTACTTAATTTGAAATCTGTTTTAATTAAGTGTGAGGAAAAAGGACTTGTGCTTAATTGGGAAAAATGTCATTTCATGGTGTCTTCAGGTATTGTTTTGGGACATATTGTGTCTGAAAGAGGCATAGAGGTTGACAGGGCCAAAATTGAGTTGATCTCTAAATTACCTACACCCAGAACGGTAAAAGATGTTCGGTCTTTTCTTAGACATGCTAGTTTTTATAGGAGGTTCATTCAAAATTTTTCAGCCATAGCTCAACCTTTGTGTAACCTCCTAGCCAAGGATGTTGAGTTTAATTGGACTCCTAAATGTGAAGAAGCTTTTTGAACCCTTGTCACCAAATTAACTACCGCACTAATCATACAATCACTAGATTGGAGTCTTCTATTTGAAATTATGTGTGATGCTAGTAACCATGCTGTAGAAGTAGTTTTAGGCCAAAGAAGGGAAGGGAAGCCCTTTGTTGTATATTATGCTAGTAGAACTCTTAATAATGCTCAAAGGAATTATTCTACAACTGAAAAAGAGTTACTAGCTATTGTTTTTGCGTTAGATAAATTCCGTTCTTCTCTCATTGGTTTACCTATTATTGTGTTTACTAACCATGCAACTCTTAAGTACCTTCTATCTAAGTAGGATGCTAAAGCTCGTTTGATTAGGTGGATTTTACTTTTGCAAGAATTTGATCTTACAATTAAAGACAAGAAGGGTGTTGAAAATGTGGTGGCTGATCATTTGTCTCGATTGGAGTTTAATGACTCCAATATTGAAAGTTCACCAATTCAAGATGACTTCCCTGATGAACATTTGTTCTTTGTTAGCCAAGTTCCCTGGTATGCTCACATTGTTAATTACTTGGTTTCTAGGGAAATTCCATCGAATTGGAGTGCATAGGATAAGCATAAGTTCTTGGTTGAGGTAAGAAATTTTTATTGGGATGAT